GCTGTATGCAGCATGTTGAATAAAATATATGTTTGTCTGTCTGTCTATGAGGTATTATCATAAAGTGACTAATTTTATTGAAAAGAAACATCCCAAAAATGTTTACACTGGCCATATTGCTGCTCAGTTTAATGACATTTGCCTAAGTCATTTTAGAAACATTTTAAAAAGTAGGCAAAGGCAAACCTGCCAAAGGTTTGCCTTTGCCTACTTTTTGCCTACTTGCCGCCTACTTCCACGAGCTACTTTTTGCCTACTTGCCGCTACTTCCACGAGCACTTTCACTGCTTTGCCTAAAGGCAAAGCAGTGAAAGTGCTCGTGGAAGTGAAGGAAAGAAAGCAAAAAGCAGTGAATAAAAAATTTTAAAAAATATATAAAACAGAAAAGATAAAAAAAATTAGTGTTAAGTTATTTTTAAGTTATTGTTACATTATGTTATGTAAGTTAAGTTTTAGTATTATTTCCCTTCTCCACTTCCGCCACCAGTTTACACCTCCAGTGTAGTCTATCCTCAAAGGTAAAGTGCAAATAAAACTACATTTTTTTACCAATTATTATTCTATTATTGTTATTTATACATTTACAACTACAAAATGCATTTTTCAGTGTTTCCTTACTAAAGTTATTTTTTTTCAATGTACTACTTAGCTTTAATTTGAGTTTGTTTATCATGTTGGAACGGATTATTTGGTTTTACATGTAATCATATGAGGAAAAATGATTCACCTTACGACATTTTCATGATACAATCTCAGTTTTGGAACGGATTAATTTCATATCCTGAGGTACTACTGTATAATAAATAAATATTTTATTGAATTATATATTGACCATTTTGGTCAAATACCTGTTGTCATTGTTTCTGGTAGTAGCATGATTTCACATTCATAAAAGTTTTGATCGTTGCTTACAAAAAAACTGATCCAAGTGATATTTGACATTGTCATTTCAAGTAAATGTCTTACAGTTAAAAAAGTTTGTCTAGACCGGAACAAGTAATAATCTGAGTGTGCTCGATCTGGCGAATATGGTTGGTGTGATAGCATGTCCCATCTAAGTTATAACAGTTTCTGACGAGTTACCAAACTTGTGTGAAATTTGACATTATCGTGGTAAAACACTACACCTGTTTTGTTGATCAATTCTGGCCGCCTGTTTTGTTGATCAATTCTGGCCGCCTTTTCTGTTTGATGATATTACTCAATTTGTTTACTTGATGGCAGTACACTTTTGAATCAATTGTTAAATTGTCTGGTAAAAGCTCCAAAAAAAAAATTTCCTTAAAATCCCATCAAAGAGAGCATCTCTCTTTAAGAACATGTGGAACCCATATATAGAGCTTTGAAACAAAACCAATTTATTTCAAGTAATCATAAAGAGCTCAATTTGACAAATTTAATCTCTTAGTGATTTCACGTGTTGTTATTTGGCAGTTTGCTTCAATCAGTACCTTTATTTTGTTTTCATTGGCTTCAACTGGCGATCCAGAATGTGGTGCATTTTCAATATTGAAATTGCCAGAATGAAATTTTGTAAACCAGTTTTGGCACTGTCGTCTGTCAATACATCTTCTCCATACATGTCACACAATTTTTTTTCTCGCTTGAACAGCATTCTTACTTTTTCGGTAATAAAAGAGCAAAATATGCCAAAAATGCTTCTTTCGATCTTCCATATTTGATGGGACACAAAAAATAAACAATTGCACAAAATCTAACAAAATTTTGTTAGATATTATGTTAGATAGAATTTTGTTAATAAACAAGCCTTAAAATGCTAGCTGTCTAAATATATAATGATAATACAATTTAGAATGAAAATGGCGGGAAAAATATGACTAATCCGTCTAGTGGTAAAAAAAAAAAAAAAAATTACTTTCCGAACAACCCAAAATAAACCAGACAAAATTCTGTGAATGAAATGTCACCCTAACTATATGCCAATCAAGATGAGTGGGAAAGCAGACCAGATAATACCTGTCAAACATTAACTATTTTGTTGGAATGCATGAAAAAGATGTCTTTCTTTATTATGTATTTCAGTAGAACTAAATGCTCAGCAGTACTTGGTCTAAAAATAAGTTGATTCCTATAAAGGATTTTCCTTGTCTCTGGCAGATGCAGAGGAAGAACACCAAATAGCATCTCGAGAGGGATCTTATACAAAATAATACCTCTCTCATTAAGAGGAAGGCATGTAGTATGCTGAAAACTGCAGCTTAATCTGATAATCCTTGCAGAGCATCATAAGACAGCATAAGTGATTTTGGGCCAAACACCATAGTAAAAATCCAAAACAGGATGTGTGGTTAGATCTTAAGTGTTGGCAAGAGTACCTCTATATGACCAGCAGATATTCCTGGCCTTATGTAGCACTATCTGAAGGTGTAAAATCCATAACATGCAAGAGCCAGATAATGCCCCAAGGCACTTGACCAAAGAAGAAAACTGCATCCTTTTACCACAGAGGAAGGAGTTCAGAAAAACCTCTTTAGAGCTCTCCTGAAATTAATGGGACCAATAACAGTTTTGTCAGGACTGATGCAAGAGCTATTATGCCTACACACAAATCAGGCCTCTGAAGGAGTTTTGACAGAGTATCAGGAAATTTTCCCATGGATATCTGAGCAATATTGTTAGCAAAAAAGCAAATATAAAATTTTAAAATTATAATTACCTTAAATGAACAACAAAAATAAAATCATTTTAAATTGCTGCCTGATATTTGCTGTCTTTGTATATGTTACTGCTAAAGCTCGGAAACTCGTTAATCTGCAGATTACCTAGCTAATCTGCAGATTAACTAGCGTGATCTGTTAAAGTTGCTAAAATTGTTTTATTTCTCAAATTACCTAGGTAATGTGCAGATTATCTAGGTAATCTGCAAATTACCTACTAGCCACTCAGTAAAGTGAAAATAAAATCTTTGCTGAAACAACAGCAACGTTTCTGTACGCTTAAATTAACATAATGTTCTTTATTTAATTTTCGATATCTAAAGAATCAAGTTAATACAATCAAACAATCGACAAATTAGTTGATAGAATCAATCATCAACCAATTAAAAAACATACAAAAAATCAAACGATTTAAAATATTAATACAATTAGGGAAATTATTATATAGATAACCACCTATGGAATTTCGGGACTTTGAGTATCTATCTGAACTGAGGGGACCGAGACGACTTCAACGATACCCTACTTTTGGACCGGAGACGAAAAATAATAAAGTTATCATACTTTTTCTGGTGATCGCATGATATAATTGTGCAGTTAATGTTACCTATGGTGAGTAAAATGGCGGCTCGTCTCTGATTCCAGCAAACAGAAGAAAGGAAACAGTGGGGACGCACGTTCTGTCCTAACCTAACCTATTTTAATAAATTACCATAATTATTACCAACCAAATTATTAGAATAGGTTAGGTTAGGTTTGAACGTGCGTCCCCACTGTTTCCTTTCTTCTCTTTGCTGGAATCAGAGACGAGCCGCCATTTTACCCACCATAGGTAACATTATCCAATTGTGCAGTCTAAAGATTGGTGACACTTTGAATTTCATAGCAATTGGTTTCTGCGACAAGCACACCTATTTGTGGTACATTTATTTGTGGCAAAGATCTTATTTTCACTTTACCGAGTGCCTAGTAGGTAATGTGCGGATTACCTAGATACTCTGCACATTATCTAGGTAATTTGAGAAATGGAACAATTTTCACAACTTTAACGGATCACGCTATTTAATCTGCAGATTAGCTAGGTAATCTGCAGATTAACGAGTTTTGAGCTTTAGCGGTAACATATATAATAATCTGGTTTTAAGGCAAAAGTCAAGAGAAGCATGCTGTAGTTGCTTTACTTGGTACAATATTAATACTATTGTATTTTTGCTTCTAAACATTGTCTAATATTTTGTTTTTTTTTTTTGCTGAATATAAAGAATGATTCATCCAGTTTTAGTATAATTGCAATATCTTTATCCATACTACCAAACTCCTAATCATACATATGCTGTATCTGATCCCTATTAGCAAAATTTTCATCACTAAGATACTAATTCAATTTAGTTTTTTGTAAAATGTTTTCTTTGTTCTGATAGTCACAAGAATTGTATTTCACATATTTGTTTTTTTCCCTTCCTGCTGGTTGTTAACATTTGATTCTCTAGTTTTTCTTCTATTTTAATGTAGCCTTCACTTCATTTTTCATATGTTGTCATTTATATTTCATATAAACAACATATACTATTAAATATCTTCCTGTATGCCAGAAATTAATGCATCTAAATTCAGAACTAGCATAGATGGAATAAAGGCTAATATATCTAAACAGAAATTTTGTCTTTGATTTCATTGTTATTCAATAGTACAGGATGTCTGAAAAGTTACTTTGCAGTGAGAAATTTGTAATGACATTAAAGTTATATGTATGGCATTGTATATGAGACTTGTAAGTTGTATGTCCCATGTTTCTACTTTGTGGTAGATAGCATTATTGCTTTCTCACAGATGCTCTGACTTTTGGACTAAATTTTTGGAAGACTTCTTTGCTGATTGTATAATCTCGCATGGAATCTGGCCTGCTAGGTCTCTGAACTTCATTCCCAGATTTTGTGGTGTCTGGGGGACATTTCCAGTATTTGCTGTATGAAAAACTACAATATTGTTTGTAAAACCTGAATAAAAAAGAAAAGGTTCTAAATTTTTTTAGGACTTTTTATCTATAAAATTGAGACCTGTTGTATTTTGAATGTTAAGAAAATTTGTAATTAATTTACATTTTTATATCAATTAATAATTTTTTATTTTTGACTATAGCTTTGAAAATTTATGAAACTGCAAAGTTAAAAATAATGGTTTAATTAAATTTATAATTCATTATTTTCAAATAACAATTTTATCATTATTATATTTGTAATTTTATGAAGTATGTTTAGAATTTGTTGTATGAAAAAGAAAATATTTAAAAAGAAAATTTATTAACTTAAAATTTCTCTTTAGAATAAGAAAACTCGTGTGTCATCTAATACACACAGACAAAAATTGGATAGTGAAATAAATAAAATATTTCCTGAAGACAATGCTGAAGGTAAGAATTTTAAATTAGATATTAAGATATAAAATTATTGAAAAACATTACAATAATTTGTAAATTTTCAGTTCATATGAATAGTTTTTCAGAATATAATCCAATATGCAAATTAAGTCATTTTTTTGTAAGTTTTGCACCATGTGAAATATTTAAACAGCTATTCTTCAGTTAAGTACAGTAATACCTCAACTTATGCTACCCTGAATTACGCAAACCTGGAGTTACGCGATTTTCAAATCTCGTCGATTCGTCTTTTGTTTGAGTGCCAAGCAACTCTTGATTACTCACTCCCCCACACTATTGTTCAGATTACATGTTCGGACGTGTCGTGCGGAATTGACGCATAGCTACAATTTATTTTGTGCTATTTATTTCTGTGTTTGTTATATCTACGGAGACTTGACAGACTCTATGTGGTGATTTCTTGTAACTGTGAATGTATCAAAAGACGAGATAAGATTAACGAGAACATTTATTAGCTTATATACAACTGACTTAGATTTTACACAAACTGCAAAATTATACCCTGACTTATGTGAATTCGACTTACGCGGTTATCACTCAGTCCCACCTATCACATAAATTCGGGGTATTACTGTACTTCATTGATTAATGGAAGTAAAATGACCATTTTTAGCATGGGTTAAATAATAGACTTTTTTACATCCAAAAGCACAATTTCTTCACAATGACAACAGTCATGCAATATTTTTTGAAAAATTATTTAAGAAATTTACCAATTTTTGCAAAAAGATAACATTTTGAGAGCTTTTCACTGATCTTATTAATAAACACCATATATATATATAAATAACCAATATTTAGCAAGAAAAATTACAAGAAAGCAAATGTTTTCACCCATGTTGAACAGGCAGCATCAGGCTAACTGATCTTAGCAGTTCAAATGCAGCTGTTAAAACAAACAGCAGGATTTGAACTGAAAACATTTTGTTTCTTGATTCATTAACATGTATTGATGCTGATTGGTTGTTAATTTTTATTGACATAAGTTTTAAGACTATGCTACATCAAATTATTGTTTATGTAATGATGCAATTATTTTATTGTATTGTATGAGGATTCCCTTATTGTATTATTTTATTTTATGTAGTATTTATTTTTTAATATAATAAGTAGAAATAAGCAATTATAATGTCCTGTAATAGAAAACATTTAATAAATTTATTAAAAGATAATAACAGTGAAAAGAAAAAATAAATTTTGAAATGTATAAAGTGAACTAATAATTGGCATTTTTGCCTAAAATGACATAAAAGTTAATGTCATTATGTTTAAAATTTTGTATATGCGCACTTGACTATATTTTTTGTATATTCTTAATGTATACTTTATTTTCAAGTACAGTTATACACCATGTAATCAAAAAGAAACTAGATTTGGTCTATAAAGATTTTAATATTTAACTAATTTAAATGTGGTACAAGCCCCTTCAAAGCAGTTTCCCTAAATTTATACAGCAATCCTATAGCTTCTGCCAAGCTCAAATGCTCCTTGAAAGTCGTTATTTTAAAAATTCTGAAGCATCTATTCCAATTCAAACTGGATCTCCTTGAAACACTATTTCTTGAACTTCAGTTTCATTTTAGAGAACAAAAAGAAGTCACAATGGGCTAAATATGATGAATAAGGAGGTTGAGGAAGACTTGGTGTTGCTTTTTGTAAAAAATCTGCTTGAAGGCTGTGTGCAAAAAAGTAATGTCATGTAGTAACTCCCGTAGCATGTGTGCGCTGCAGGGTTGGTCAAAAAGAAAAATCACAGATGAATGATTAGTTGCATAAAGGCGTGTGATGAAATAACAAAAGTTTATTTATGACACTAAACACACTTAATACAGTATATACGTATACAACACAAATTCTGGTCTCGTTACAAGTTTCATTTTCATTCACACTTTCTCCTATCCTTCCTCCACTGCGCAAGGCTCCTTCGATACCTGACAAGAATACAAAATACAGTAGAGTGTTGGTTATCCAAATCAATTGGGGACTGGGGTTGTTCGGAAAATCGATATTTCGGATAACAGATTATGTACGAAAAAATATATTAACCTATCCCATGTTGAAAATTTTCTTCGTTGCATGTCGCTTCGCGTTGAATTTTCGTTGATGTTAAGCCTAACGAAGACTATTGTATCGTTAAAAATTATTTTTTTATTTTCTACGAACAAAATAAATATATTGAAAAATATAAAAACAATAAAAAATTATACTTCAGAAGTTAATTTAGTATCAAAAACATAAAATATTTGAGTAGCCGAAGACATAGCCAAAGATTACAGCGCCACAGCACTGGCGAAAATTTAAATTTGTCGACTGGAATTCCTTCGGATAACCGACGTTTCGGATAATTGGCTTTTGGATAATTGACGCTCTACTGTAATGATACAAAGAAACAAAAGCAAATATACCTGACAAGAATACAAAGTAATAGTGCGAAGAAACAAAAGCAAATTGAAAAATAAAAAAAATATACAAACAAAAAAAATTAGGTTTTCATGACCCTCCAATTAGTCATTCATTCCTTTTTGTTGTTCCTTTCTTCCTTTGTTCATATTCCACTTGGATGAAGATGGATTCTTAAACGGCGGCATTCTTTCCCATTTTCTAGTATGGTTGTCCTTCCTGATCTTTACTTCCTTTCATGTTGAATGTCGTTCGCACTCAGTTGTTTTATGATGACCTCTTGCCTCAATGTGCTCTTGCTATGTCATGTCATCCACAAAAAAACTAAAAAAGTGCCTTTCACATAGATGCACATTGTATTTTTATCCCCTGCCAGAAGAAACTATGCTGTCCCAGGTGACCAACCCTGTGGCCAATCCCCATACCTTATACCCCATCAGCTGAGAACCAGTGGTATGGAAGAAGGAAATGGAGAGGGACATGTATAATAAAGGGAGATGATACAACAGAAACAAAATAATAAACATAAAAATAATTAATGACAAAAATAAAATAGCCTCAAAGCGCTACAGTCATGATACAGTTAGGTTCAGTTGTGCTACAGTTCAGTGCTGCAATTGATTCAAAATGTTCAGGTAAAAGTTTGAATTCACTGACCAGGGGAAACCAATTTTCAGTACACAATTCCTTTGATTGAAAAAAATGATTAATATGCTCTTGCATTGTCTTCTTATGTCTTGAAGATTGTGATCCCACCCATGACTTAGTTGCCTTAGTCCTCCCAAAGCATTTCAAGGATTTCTGTGATAGATTTTTCAAGTTTAATGCAAAATTTAACATTTACTCTTTGCTCAGTTTTCAAGCTCATTTTTGAATTGTAGTATGACACTAACATAATTTAACATAATTATAATTAAGTTAAATTTATCAGTATATTCACTGTTTCTCTTAGTTGTTTCAGTTAGGTTATTCTGCTTCTTATAGGACTTGCTACTTAGTTTCTGTATTATTTTAGTATTAGTTTGAAGCCTTTACTTTAGTTTTAAGCATTAAATTATACTCTGTCTATCTTTTATGTAGCTGCACTACTTATTGATATATGCTATAATTCAGGTATTCTTTTAGACCCATGGCTTTGCAGCCTAAAAACTGCATGTCAACATTAATCATAGAGGGAATAGTAGCTTTACATACACCATTCAGAGTGATCCTTTCTATCTCCTCACTCTACTCCTTCCCTTCCCCTCTTTCCTTTCCTTCTTCTAGCGGCTAAACACTTTGTGTATGGCCATTGTCTTTTGTTAAAATAAAAAAATAAGATACTATACATGATTTTGTAAAATTATGTTTTTAAGTGTTTCAGTTTGAAAAATTCAATTCCGCTTGGCAGCTATCCTTGGTGGAAAAAAAGACTATTTCATCCTATCACCAGATAAAGGAAATAGTTTGGTTTCTTTGATCACACTTCATATAATTTATGAAAATATTTTGAAATGGCTTCTATTTAGATGCTTACTATTATAGTACATTACAGACAGTTTTTCAAGATTTATAACTAACTTTTTATATGATATAATAACTATTCAAACATAATACTAAAGAGAAGTTAAGTATTGACTATCAAACACTTTTATCAATTTTAAACTTAAGTACTTCAGGGTTAATTACATTGAATATTTTGAATAAGATAGTCCTGAAGAAATTAAGTTTATTGTTAATAATTTTTTTTAATATTTTAGAATGTACTTTTGACAATGGATTGGAAATTGATCTGAAAATGTAAAATTAAGAAAATTTTTGCAAAGAGCGAGTTTTCTAAAGTTTTTGTTCTGAGAAAAGCAGTTTGAATTGGATTCAAATTTGAATAAAAAATCATTTTAATTACAATGGAACTGATCTAAACGGTATAATTCTTATTTAGAATTTAATTCACAAATTATGTTTTGTGTTATCAATATTTTGGGTTCTTGTTTGGATTTCTTAACCAGGATATAAATATTTTCAATATTGTTTTATGCATTTATTATTTCTAGCTAAACAAAATATATAGCAGCACCTAATGTTTTCAATATATTTTAATAAAAATATTTATTATTAATTATTGCATTTATTTTTTTTAAACATGAAGTGCTTTGTTTTATTCATATTTTAATAAATTATTTGTATTTTAAATTTTTATGACAATAGATCTATATTAAGAATATAAATTTGTAATTTTTGAATATTCATAAATTGTTTATAAAATAGATGGATGGGTACAACAATTATCAAAAAAGGAAAGAAAGCATCGTCGAAAGGAAGAAGTAGCTAATGCCTGTGTTAGCAATGAAATTGACAAAAGTTCAGAAAATGAAACTTGGGATGAACAACAGCCTGTTGCAGAATTATCGTGTAAGATTAAAGAAAATTTTATTTTTATTTTACCTTTTAAATTTTGTAGTGTGAACATGTACAATTTGAAAATTTTATTAACAAATGATTTTATGACTATTTTACAAGAGCATTATTCTGAAGATTTGGCAAGTAATTTTTCACTTCATCTGTTAAGTGTTACATCTTTCTTAAAAAATATATATAATTGACTGTAGAAACTACTATAAAAGAATTATTTTTGTAATTTTGAAACCATGTCGGTAATTATTGTTGTCTCCTAAATACCATAATACAAACACTCGAACACTTAAGTTTATTCAGTTTAGTTGATATGTGTGCATATTGTTTACACACGTTTCAGGCTTATTATGTCCCTCTTCAGCCAACTAAAATTAAAAAGTTAAACTTAGAGAATACATATGAATTACAAATTCCGGTATACATATAAAAGTTTTTACTGTGTGTGTGTGTGTGTGTGTAAGAAATATAACCATTACACTGAACGTACCTTGAGATTACAGAATTCTAAAACCCTTAACACATATCCACATGACAGATGGTAGACATATTCTTCTAGTTATTTCCTATTTATTCAATAAAATATTTTCTAATAAAGATTTCTCATGTAATAAATTTAATAAAATGTATCTGTATCTGAGTTAATCAATTAAATTCTGTATACATATATGTATACATATTCTATCAAAATTAATGCAGTCAAACTATATATAGATAAAATATTATATATATATTTATTTCAATATAATTACATAAAATAAAACTTAACATTAGTCTACTTCAGAGATTCCCAACTTATTTTTATCATGGAACCCTTTTCACCTTAATAAAAAATGTTGGAACCTTGCATATATCAATGAATTAAAGCATACTAGGTAGCCACTTTACATTAAAACTGAAACTGAAAATAAAACTACAATTAAAAATAAAATCTTAATTAATTAATTAATTAAAACAAAATAAAATCAATTGAAAAGTAAAACAATGTTTTTAAAAACTGTTTAAAAGTTGTTTTGAAATTTTCAAATTGTAAGTCAAATTTAGTTTTAAATTTATATTATTTGCATGCAGTGGTGAAAGAACATTTTGCTTTTAATATATACAGTCAATTCCGCTTAATTGGAACATGTTGCGACTAATCCATTTTGGCCCAATTAAGCGGCTGCCCCAATTAAACAAACTAATAATAAATTCTAAAATAAAATATGTAATATGTGGATAACTAAATAAGTAGGTAAAAAAAATAATAATTAGGTACCTGTTTTAATGCTTTATTAAACCAAAATACAGAAAATATTTGTACAGTACTATAAATTTGCTAGATTTATGATGACAGATAACTGATTTGCATTACTCTAGTGTTGCCAAATATTAGTAGCAACGTACACAAGGGTTGACTGTTTGATTCATTCCTGATCGAACGATCTTTCCTTTTCCCTTTTTAGTTAGAACATGTCCGGGTTTATCCAAAAGTCACCTTATGGCCTTTCTTTGAGCACAGTTTCCTTTACTTGGAGATGGGCCACTTTGGCAGGAGCATCTGTAGAATGTTTATAAAATAGATGGATCCGCCAACTCCAGAGTCTGGTTTCAACAATCAGATGGCTGCTGTCTGAGTCTAGACGTAATCATGTACACAACATCTTTCAAGGAACTCTCGCTGTCTTTCAACTTGGTTGAGAGACCTCGAAAAATTGTCCAGAGGATCTTTGTCCCTTCGCTTTTAAGGGGATCGTCCAGTTCAATCCAGAGAAGGATCAGTAGCTTGCATTCAGGTCTGCCTCAAACAGGATCCCCATGTGATACGTCCTGCTATGCTGATCCCCTCCAGAAAAAATTAACTGCCTGAACGAAAGACAAAATTGCTTTGTCTTGGTCAACCGTTAGGCCTACATGACAGTGTATACATAGTATTGACAAATTTTCAGAAGACCCCTAAAATATATCAAATATTGCTAAATTCCTTTTCTGCTACTGTCTCAATTAAGCTTTTAAATTATGTATTAATTTATTAGTTTGGCTTCCATCCATTGAGATTTGGCCCAATAAAGCAGCTGCCCCAAGTAATCAGTGGCCCAATTAAGTGGAATTGACTGTATATAGATTTAATGATTATATTTTTATTTATATGTTGAATCCATTTTAAATTAAGGTTATGATTTTTTGAATGATTCTCTAGCTTTAGTTTGTTTGTTTTTATGGTTTCTCTTACCTTGTCAAACATTATATTATGATTATGATTTTGGTTTTTTCTGTTACCAATAAATTGGTTCCCACTATTTATAAAGCTATAAATAACTTTAGCATGTATATAGTCTCAAATGGAGTCCTCATATCATCATACAAGGACTCACTCCTAGACTAGAACAATTACACTTTACATCCCAAATCTGCATTGGCACATTCATACATCACTAGACTCAATGGATTTTATTGTGGAACCCCAAATTTTTATTGGCAGAACCCTAGGGTTTTGCAGAACACAAGGTAGGAACCTGTCTAGTTGATAGTCTGTAACCTTTCATATTTTTTAACTCAGTATTTATTTCTAGTACTGTAATTTTGATAGATAACCTATTGGTTTTGTGTGTGTGTGTTACGATATGGGATGGATTATATGCTGATTTTAAATTCCAATTATGAGTTAAAGTTGATTCACATTAGATGACTGGCTGGTAGCAAGCAACTGACTCATTGGACTAACAATTATTTATTTGTTTTCAAGAAATAACCCACTGTGTCATTTCTTAAAATATGGAATACTTCCCACTGTGTTTTACAACCTTGTTCTATATTGGTGAAATATATTGGTGAAATGTATCCAGGCCGCAAGGGTCTGGCACTCACAGTCTCTCTGGCAAATTATGTATAGGTTAATAATTTTACTCTGTGTCGGGACAAATTTCTGTTATCTGTCACTGTAGACAAATTTGTAACACCTTGTTTATTCCTTTTAATAATCGGCCCCGGTGCTGGTCTTATGGGATCCCTCCCTCCTCCCTTCAAACACTTTATCCCACCCCTCTCTCTCCATACCCTTCCTTCTCCCTTCAAACACTTTATCCCACCCCTCTCTCTCCATACCCTTCCTCCCCCCTCTTTAGGCTATGCCAAAGGCTCGGCCATATCTATCTTCACAATATCTTCACAATATATTGGTGAAATAAGATTTAATTTTTTAGTAAATACTTGCAATTAACATACAATTCTATGTGCAGTAAACTAGAACTTTGTATAATAATTTTCACAACACTTTTCTTTTCCTAGCACTTTCTTTAATGTAACTAGAAAAAAGAAAGAAAGGTTTCACAATATGAATTGGATTGCTGTATATTAGATATCTATGTAAAATGTCTCTGTAATCCAAAATTATGGTAGACGGTCTCACAGCAAATTTTCAGTTAGGAACTACGATTTTATTCTCAAATTAAATTACATATGCATTTCAGGTTGGTGCAATATATTCCAACCCCTCCTCAGTGCTAATTTTAAAAAATAATAAAAACAAAAATTGTCAGAATATGACAACAAATATACCATTAGAAAAAATACTATACTGTTTGTACAAGAGAGAACAACACATCTGTAACACCAACACGTTATCATAGTGTTTGGCGTATGTTCTTCTCTTACAAACTTACAAAAAACGCTGAAATGTTAGAACATGACATGAACTACCTCAGATGTTTTCTAAGAAAAGAACATATGCCAAACACTATGATAACGTATTGATGTTACGGATGTGTTGTTCTCTCTTGTACAAACAGTATAGTATTTTTTATGATGGTATATTTGTTGTCATATTCTGACAATTTTTGTTTTTATTATTATTCAAAATTAGCACTGAGGAGAGGTTGGGATATATTGCACCAACCTGAAATGCATATGTAATTTAATTTGAGAATAAAATCGTAGTTCCTAACTGAAAATTTGCTGTGAGACCGTCTACCATAATTTTGGATACAGAGACGTTTTACATAGAAAGAAAGGTGTTGTGAAACTACTTAAGATACAGATTAATCTTCAGTCTAATACAAAATATGAAAAACCAAAAAGAATTAAATTTTACAAAATTAAAATATAGTCAATTTTTCTTATACATTTTTCAAGGGAACTGAGAAAAATATTGTATTTGTGAGAAAAATGTAGAAATGAAACTACCTTTGAATTGCTTTTAGAGTGAATATGTTATCACAAAAGTATGGTGCGGCACAAATTAACACTGTACATTACAACTGAATTTATACATGTAATTATTGACAAAGGAATTTCAATTTATTATATGTATAATAAATTTAATAATTTACTATACATATAATACATTTGAATAGCATATACATGGAATAGTAAANCATTTAATGTTTTTAATACATCTAAAGAAAATATTTTACTGTATTAAACTAAATTACCAAATAGTTAGAACATTAAAAGATACAGTTGAACCTTGTTTACACACTTTTCAAAGAAATAGAGAAAAATATATAAGTGAGGAAAACATACAACTGAATTTTGAAAATTGTTTTCAGAGAAAATATAGTCATCACAAATTAACACTGTATAACTGAACCTATATATGTAATTCTTAACAAAAAAACAGTTTCAATTTACTATACATATAATACATTTGAATAGCATATACATGGAATAGTAAAACAGAGTGAAATTAACTCATCAATTTTTAAAACATTGGTCAAGTTTTGTTTGTTTCTTGTTTTTCTGATAGACTTGTGACATATTGTATCAGTTGTCTCCTTCTGCTGAAACTCTAATCACATAAAAGAATGAAGAGTAATTCTAAAGGTTAGCTCATACTGACAGCAAATAATGAAAACAAATAAGAAACTGGAGGTAACTTTTATTCACTTAACAAAATTGGTTCGGTGAAAATTGTCAACATGTTTAACTGGCAGAGGAATTTGCTAAACAGGAAAATTTGTCAGAAACAGTGTCACATGTTACATAGTCACTTTGCTTTTTGCATTTGTTGGCAATTCACTGTCAGTGTAGACCAGTGTTTCTCAACCTCTAACGAATCGTTGCCCCCTTCAATAAAACCGTTACGTAGTATTGCCTCTTCACTTTAAAATTTCGATGCCAAGGGCCAAGGCTAATGCCAAATTTGTACTGCATTGAATAGACTAGTGACTAGTATAATGTTATTTGTTTAATTATTGTACTATATAATGAATAAAATATCTAATTATTCTTAATATAATGTTTTACTATATCATCCAGAAAATTGTTTTTCACCCCCTCAAAATATAAATTGTTACTAATCGCCCCCTCAACATGGAAAAATGCCCACATGGGGCGATATCGCCCCCGTTGAGAAACACTGAAATGGTGTAGACTAAGCTGAAATGAATACATATTTTACTTTTTCATTTTTTATAATAATAATTAAATTTTACCATTTTAATGTAAATAATTCATAAGTGAGAAAAAGTGCTGTAGGGTAATGAAAAATATGACATATAAGTGTGAAATTGTATAAATGAAAAATATATGACTGATGTATTTAAAAAATAAATTATTTAAAACGATGGAGTCAGATTAATTTTCACTCTTACTTAATTGTATTGTAGAAAAATACATGAAAATTCAAATTTTCTATATTTTCTGATAGAAGGTAAGAGTGATATATGACTGAATTGTTTTATAATGGAGAAAGTACTGTACAGAAAATATGTAATATATAATTGTAAAAACATACAGTTGAGAAACATATAAATGGAGAATTAAAGTAAGCAAAACTTGACAAAATCCTGTTTAAATGTTATAACATTTTGAACAATAATTTTAATATCAATAATAAAACTGTTTTCTGTTTAACTTTTTCTGAGTTTATTTTATTACTGGACAAAGGGAATTAGTCATAAAATAAAAATGATAAATTGTATTTATTTATTTTTGCACTTTATTTACATAATTGGGACAGTTTATAAATACTGCAATCAAATTAAGGGGTAATGAGTACAAGTGTAACCTTATGTTGTAGAATCCAACATGTACAGTATATATACAAGAAGTTTAAATGGGAAGTGCTTAGCTACTTCCAATTTGAACTTCTGCCATAGTCCCAATTTATCACCAAGAGATTTTTACATTTTCAGTCCTCTTAGAAGACTGTCAAACATTTTCTTGTTACGGACAGTCTATGAGGCTGGAATTTTCAACTTGGTTAAAAGATGGGATAAATGTCTGTTTTGGTATGTTTTAACTCACAATATCTGTGTAATGTGATTAAACTTATTTTAATTTATTCTAATATTTTTTTCCTTTCATGTAATTATAAGAGTATAATAGAATAAGAGTGAAAAATCATTAAATTATTATCATTTAAAAAGATTATTAATTTGTAATATTTTTATTGTAGCCTGCAGTCAAGAAAGTACCCCTTCTAAAGATTTACTTAAGCAATCTTCTAAAAAGACTCAAAGTTTACCACAAGGAATAGAGGTCTATTTTTTTGCCTTTACTCAAACTTTCAAACTTTAAATAATTTTATTAGTTTCTAATAATAATTTTTTTTCTCAGGGACAAAAGTCTTCAAAAAAGAAATCTAAAAAAGATATCAATGCAAATCAGAATGAAATTAACATTTCAGAATATCATGAACCTCCAGCAGAAAATAAAAAATCAGAAATCAAATTGGATTTAGAACAGTATGATAAACCAAATTCTTCCATTCAGATTAATCCTGAAATTGAAGATGAAAGTTTAATAACTGATGATAAACCTTCAAAAAAGAAGAAAGGAAAGAAAAAGAACCAGGATGTAAATGTATTGGTCACAAAACCAACACAAAGTGAAGAAATACAGGAAATCAAGGATTCATCAAAAACACAGAATGATAATTTATCTGATACCTTGTTGATTGACAGTGCAGAAGTTGAAAATAGTACAATTGATGATGCATCAAAATATAATAATGAAAATGGTAAGCTTAAGTTTTATAACAAATTATAGCAAACTTGATAAGAATTTTTAAGACTACAACAACAAAATTGCAAATTAAACGTGAAAAATATTAAAATATAGAAATGAGATTTGATGTGTTCTTTTACAAGAGCAAAGCATATGAAGACAAAATTAATTACATTTTTTATTAGCAAGAATTAGCATCCAAACAATACTTTAATTTTCTTTTACCATCAAATGAATGCTGGGGTAAAGCAAAATACAGAAATACATATTTCTTAAAATAGAATAAATAAGACAAATAATAAAGTTGCCTTATATTTACAGAGTGGCTAATAAATATTTTAAATTAGTTTACATATACAGTGTTTAAACAGTAGCATTTATTTCATGGATAATAAAAATGAAAATTATAAATTTGTTTTTTCTGAAGATTTTATCATATATAAAAATTTATCGAATAAAAAGTTTATTCTCTTACTAAAAGTTTCAAAATTAGTGCATAGCATACTTGAAGCATACTTATGTCATTTAACCATTAATACATAACACAGCTTATAGAATATGAAATAATAAAACTTTTTAAGTTATAATGTATAGAATCAACATTGCAGAATACCAAACAACTTCAATATTCTCACCTGTGTGACACACACAATTTTCAAGCTATAATCAATTTCCCTCTAATTTTTTTTCCCATCATTGCAATGGAATTGTCTGAAGTGCAGAATCGTAGCAACAATTCTGCACTTCAGTTCATTGAGGAAATTTTCAGTGGTCATGTAAGCAATGGCCCTGTATCCCTATAGTAAGAAATGAAATGGATAATATCAAGTGAGTACAGAGACCCCAGAATTGGTCCACCCAACCCATTCCAGTGCACAAGAAAATGCAATGTTGCTTTCACCAATGTCAGATAGGATTATCTAAAAAAAGGTGGATCTTTTCATACTTTCTATAAAAATGTTTCATTATGATAATGGACTTTGTTTCAAAAAATCAAAGTAGGCACACTGCTTTCTCTTGAACAGTTGCCTTTTGAAGTATGATATCATATTATCTCATAGATATCATGTAGTAATATAGCATTGCCAAATAAAACTTTTTGAGTTATTTTCATATTCCGCAAGCAGTTTTGTTTCATTGTTTTTGGTTGGATAATTATACGACATGGGAAATCTTAATAAATATAGGATGATTCTAAATCATTGTTATCATTATCTTTGAAAATCACTAATTTATATATCATTATTGAATTGTTAAGTTCTAATAAAAAAATATATCAGACATAATAAAATTCAAGTAACAAAGCATTAAAAGTTTCATTAATTTTGAATTTTTTAATGGAATGTATCCATAGATAAGGATAGTTTTTTCAAAAAGATTTAAGAATTTGATTTTATTAAATTTTTTCGTTATGAAAATTTCCATGAATAACAAAATTTAATAACTTTTAAATTAGATATATTTATTATTTATACTGTTTAAGAACCATCTTTGTCTAGTTAAAGTCAGAAGATAGTTTTTCAATATCTGTATTTTTCTTGTGTATCAGCATCCATGTTTTCTCTTAATATAAACAATGGTTGGAATGGTTAAAATTTTGAGAGATTTAAGAATATTCTAATATTTTATATTATATATAATTGAGAATTGGAATTCTATTTAAAAATTAATTCCAATCTTCTTCTGAAATGCTTGATTTTATCAATTTCTAAGAAAGAAATATAAATTTGTAATATATAAGGAAAATAAAAAAAAACAAATCTCTTGCAACTTTATATATAAATTATACAAGTAATAATGAAACTTCTTTTTGCAGGAACAACTGAATCTGGCTCAAATGTTATTTTTGATGAACTTGGTGGTGAGTTTATTATTTAGTTTAATATTTTAATGTTTATAAGTGAATTATAAACGTTATAAAAATTTCAAATGCTTTATTAGAACAGAGAAACTGATTATATTTTAAAAATATTTTTGGATCTTAGCAATCCTTCAAGATATCAGTTAGAATATATCCATTTCTTCTAAATAGATCCATTTTTCATGACAAAATCTATTTCTAAATGAACGTTTAAAAATATAAATTAATTAAATTTTTTGCTGTTTCATTTTATGGAGAAAACTTTAGTTAAATATTACTAGCACACTACAACAAAATTCCAGCAGAAAAGACATTTAATTGCAAATGTTTTCAACCTTGTTTAAAGATCATCTTCAGGCTATGTGCTATAGATTCAAATTACTGAACTGCTTAATGGCTGTCAATATATAGAATTTACATGAATTAATTTATTGGCTATTTAGTTTCAATTAATTAAAAACTGAAATAATGCAGTAAATTTCAGAAATCATCTACTGTGTAATACAAGAAGTAGGTGTACCCAGAAAAATATTTGAAATGTAACAACAATTTTTTACAGCACATAAATAGGGAAAATAAAGAAACAAATAAATTTATTTACATAAAACTTCTCGATGTAGGTCTATGATATTTTTTTACCTTCAGTTAGGTATTCATTTCTACATGCAAATTAAGTTAGTGACATTTAATTGGATGTAATGTTTTTGTTTCTTTCTCAACTACTCATAAGAGTTCTTTGCTTAGGCATCATTTTATTCAAAAGAAACAATGTTAGTACTGACAAAAATTTAATTTACATTAATCTTTTCATTAATTTTAATAACATAAAATTAAAACATAATCAGAAAACAATGAAAGAATGGCAACTCAAATTATTTTTGGAAGTGTTTTTATACCAGACTGGGACAGAATTAATTTTTTTAAATTTACACTAGGTAACTAAAGTATTCATATAAAATGGAAGAGTTTTTTAGTTATTATTCATTTCTCATATGAAATAGGAAAAAAAATAATGACAGTTGTAAAATCTTCAGACTTTTTTACACTAGAAAAAAGTATTTACATATACAAAAACATTGATCAAAAAGAGAAATATAATTTTATTTAAAACAGTGAAAATTTTTCTCATTGCAAAAGTATATGGACAGAAGTAGGACTTAAGTGACTTGCTTTTTTTGCTTTTTTCTTAGCTCTGCTCCTTTTTAGCTTTTTATAATGCAAAATCGCTTTTCTCACATCCCATGTGGATTTTTTTTTCGTAAATGCGCTCAGGATCAAAATAGTGACCAGCATATCCCCATACGCCTTATCATATGACCATGCACAACATGATAAGGCACTGTCATCTACACATGAATGTATTTGACCTGAAGAATTCTGCTGGGATGTCAAAATACCCAACTGTTGCTATAGTAGTCAAAGTATTGTTGGCTCTCAGTCATGGTAAGGCAGATGTTGAAAGAAGGTTCTCCAGTTTTAGATGGGTTATGACAAGACAGAGCTTCTATATCAGAATGAATAATGAATTCATTGTTGATAATAAAAGATGGACTCTGTGTATATAACAATAATGCCTTTTTGGTGCCAATGACAAAAAAGTTACTTGGGTTGGCCCACAATGCATATGCTACTTTTTTTGGACAAGCAAAATAAACTGAAAGAAGAAAAGCAGAAAATAGAACAAGAAGGAAGGGAGAGAAAAGAAGAAGAGGATAAAATAAAAGCACTTGAACAAGAGAGAGAAAATTGATACTCTTGAAGTAGAGCTGAAGAAAAAAAAAGAAGAAGAAATGCAAACGGAAACGAGGTCTAGAATGTTTGAAGAAGCCACTAATAGTCGAAATGCTGTTGAGAAAAACAACATTGAAGAGATACGTCTTGCCCAAAGGCTATTGAAAGGTGTGAAAAATATTCAGTGTGATGAAGAGGAGAAAACAAGAGAAGTACAGAAACTGCAGCATGACTTAAACAAAAGAAAATCTTTTTTAATTACAAATTTTTTAACAAGAAATCAAAAATGTACCTTAAAATAAATGACATTTGAAATTTGGCATGTTATATGGAGACACATTCTGATAGTTATGTTAGTCTTCCATTTCCTTTGCTGTATAACGGTGGGAACTCCATATGGGGCACATGAAAACTTAATATGGGCCCATTCTGGCTTAATGCAATCTTACTGGTCATTTTTCTGGAGTATAAACTCAGCCTATTTTCATATTTAATTTTTTCAGTCCACTTAATAATCAGTCTATTATCATATGCAATGTTATTGGTACAAAATATGTTTGTGTGTTTTTTAATAATGCCTCTTTTAGTTCATTTTAACACTATTAGTTTTTTTTTAGCTTTTATTTCAGTGTGGACTCTCTTTTCTCACTTATATTCACTACCATGACTGATTTAAGCCCCACAGAAGAAATAATGATAAAACAAAATATTTTATACAATTAAGAACAAGTTGGACATACTTTTACTCTGATAACAGCTTCTAAACAACTAGGCATTTTAATCCAAATTTTGTCTATTAAATTCAAAACTCTGATGATGATTTTAAGATCAGTTTTGTTTGTTGTTGATTATGTTCTGATTGTTCGTTCAATGTGATCCCATAAATGCTCAATTGGGTTGAGGTTTGGCAATTATGGAGGCCAAGGAAGCACTTTTATACCACACATATCAAGAAACTGACTTACCCTTAACAAACTCTTACTCTAATTTTCTTACTGATTTTTGAACATTATTTAAAATCTGTTCATGAACATATTGATTCATTATTTCATCAACAAATTGCAGAGTTCCAACAATATTTACAAACATACAACTTCAAATAGCATTAAATTGTCTCCACATTTTACTGTAGGGATCACATTTTTCAGTTTTAAAGATTCTCCATACTTCAAGACATTCATGTGAATCAAACATATTGAATTTGGATCATGACCTCAGGACTGATTTCCAAAATATTACTGAGTTTGTATAAAACTCTTTTGCAAACTTTAAGCTTTACTGCTGCTTTTTTTCTGTTGATGAATGGTTTTTTTTCATAGCCATAAAATCTTTTTAGATAATTGCTTTTAAAGTTTTTCTCAGTTTCTGCAGATGTATGTACTCCACATTCTACAGAAGCTTCAACAGCAAGCTTAGGAGCAATTATTTGTGGATTTTTCTTCACTTTCCTGACAATGATACATTTCTGTCTCAAGATAAATTTGAGTCTTATTAATTACACTATTTGTCGTAAGGTATTTAATGGTATCTTGAATTGTGGATTTTGGAATGTGAAACTGTTTTGCAAGGTTTTGCATAGTTTTCCCCTATTGCTATTCCTTAATAATGAGTTCTTTAATAACAATGGTTAATTTGTTTGTTTTCATTATTCACAATGATAAAATAAAACAGTTCAAGTTTGAAACAAATACTTTAACACATTTGTTGAGGCAAATTGTTGTAAACATGTTTTTAAGAAAATGATCTGACACTTTCATTTATTTCTTCTGTTTGGATACTTTGATGTAAAAATTGTCACTGTTTTAAATAAAATCATATTTCTGTTTTTGATCAATGTTTTTGCACATGCAAATATTTTTTTAGTGTAAAAAAAGCCTGAAGATTTCACATCTGTCATTATTGTTTTCCTATTTCATGCGAGAAATGAGTTATAATTAAAAAACTCTTCCATTTTATAGGTGTCCTGATACTTTTATGAGCTAGTGTATTTTAAATTGAAATTAAGTTTGGATTAATGTTTAAAGATGTACTGAAATTGCTTGTAATTGTTTTTGACCTAGTTTTCTTTATTTACAACTCTACTAATCGAAAGAATTTCATACAATAATTGGTTCATATTAGTGATGATGTGTTGTGGTTCAATATATTTTTTCTATAGACCCAGTAAAGATTTAAAAATTAGTTACAATAACATGAAATTCATTAACTAATTTTGTGTTTTAATTTAGTACAGAAGTAAAAGGAATTAAATATAAAATATAATGAAATAAAAATATGATTATTGTTGTTATTTCTATTCCATGTTTAAACTGTGAAATGATGTAAATGGATATTCTAGGCATTTATAACAGATGTAGGTATGCAGATAACATGTGCAATTGAAAAAGCTTTGTGGATGTGATCAAATAAATAATTTTATTTATTATTATTTATTTATCTGTATTGCACAATGAAGCATAGAACAACTAAACACTGTTTTAAAAATGCATAGAACAACTAAAAAAGAGTTAACACTGATATATATGTTACTGTAAAAGTTTTTTGCTTGTATGTATATATTAGTGTTAACTCTATTTTTAGTTGTTCTATACATTTTTAAATCAGTGAGAATTCCATGTGTTGTATGTTTTTATACAATGTGTTGAATAAGAAATAACAAAGAGTCGACAGAAGAGGGGCAAGAGCCCGAAACACACATTGACATCTAAACAGCAGAATAAAGATGAGTGTAAAATAAAGTCCAATGTCTAACGAAGGCGCTTCATTGTGCAATACAGATAAACATACATAAAAGACACACTTTCAAATTAGAAGAAAATAAAATTATTATTTTCTGGGAATAAACTGAAAAAATAAAAATACAATATTTACAAACACAAAGGATTGAGTGTAGTAGATTAATTGAAAATTAGATTTTATTAATTGTAAAATTATGAGATCTCTCTCTCTCTCTTTCTTTCAAAAAAAAAAGAGAGAATTAAAACAATAAATGTAAGAAGAGGAGAAAGAAATGCATTCCTAGAAAGAGACTAACTGGGTAATTCTCATAAAGTTTTAAAATGCCATCAAAACTTTATAAGAATTATCCAGTTAGTCTCTTTCTAGGAATGCATTTCTTTCTCCTCTTCTTACATTTATTGTTTTAATTCTCTCTTTTTTATTATTAGATTTCTAATAATAATGATGGGAGGGCTAATTATCTACCAGGAAGAATATTGATTATTATTTTATTAGAAGAGGAGAGTTTGAAAGTTATCAATACAGTCGACCCACCTATAACACGGTAGATACGTTCCGTTCTTTATGAATCAATTTTGTACGAGTCCTTGCCAATCACAGCCCGACATGTGTGAAGTTTACAGACTATGGCTGTTTGAAAGGTTTTCTTCCATAAAATTAATCGATTCTAGACTAATTCGACTCAACATTTCCAAAATATGTATAATTTTTTTGGGAATAATCCGTATAAACTATGCTATAAACAAAAAATTGTAGGATTACTTACCGAGCGTGCACCGTTCAATGTCACTATTGCTCAAGCTTGTTTTCATTGCGGAGCAATGCACCAAACCGCGGCCGCGATTTCTGATAAGTTATTTTTCTGCGAAAACTTTGTTGAACTTTGGAGACATCATTAATATAAATAATTTTTATGGCCGTTGAATAAGAAATGTTTCTTTCACAAGAAATGTATAAAATTACAGTACTGTATTAGACTTACGGTACCTAATTTACATACTGTACAGACGATAGTAAACAACTTACTCGCCTAAACTCTCCGTAGCGTGGCACTGGATGGCGGAAAGTATATATATAATTATAAAAATGTTACAATAAATTAAGTTAATATATAATTATATATGCAGTACCTAATTTATATATAATTAATATATAATTATATGTACAGTACCTAATTTATATATAATACTGTACAGACGATAGTAAACTCAATTTACCCGCCTAAATTCTCCGTAGCGTGGTGCTGGACGGCGGAAAGTAGTTCGGCTGTCCGATGACGTTTTACCGAATTATAGGAGTTTTTTCATCAGGTTTGTACGGATACCGTCGCAATTTTTTTGCAGTCTTATAGGAATCGTAATTATAGGAACCCATGTTATAGGGGGTCTACTGTAATTGAAAGTTTATTTGTAAAGAATGGTTCTCTCTAAACCAGTAGGTGAAGTTTAAATTTCTGGAAGAAGTCCAGGAACTTCACTTACTCAGTATTCAAGTCTTTCAACGTCACATTTACGGCAGTCTTTTATAATTCAACAATGTTTCCATACCACTTCATGTAAAGTGCTCCATAATTATTGATGATGTGTGTCTAATCAAAAGAGAGTAGAATAAAGACTTACTGATTAAAAAAAAACAGCTAGTATCTGGTCTTTCAATCATTATATATTTACTATTGATATCCTTAGATCTTATCAGAAAAAAATCTAAATATCTTTCCTTTCCAGGTTTGCTTATGCACATATCCAAATGATGATTTTACACTAGTAATAAAATAAATTTCAGAATTGTAAACCATAGAAATGTATATTTTTAATTTTAAAATGTATTTGTAATTTAAAATATATAATTTTATAAAAAAATTATAAAAATTATAAAAAAAAATTTAAAATGTATTTTTAATTTTAAAAGAAATGCAATCTTGAGTTAATTTTTTAAATTGTGTTTATGCACTTGACATGTTTGCTGCCAGTTGATGTAGATTCACATGATGCAGAATTATGTCAACTGATGGTGAACATGTTAACTGTGCAAAAAAAATTCTGAAAAATGTATGTTAAATTTATTTAGTTTCTCTTTATCAGATTAACATTGTTAGTTAATCTGTTAGAACTTACTATTTACATTGATACCGTGTTTCCCCGAAAATAAGACATCCGCAGAAAATAAGACCTAGCACAGATTTTGCTGAATTGCGAAATATAAGACCTCCCCCTGAAAATAAGACCTAGCGCATTTTTCAGAGCAAAAATTAATATAAGACACTGTCTTATTTTCGGGGAAACACGGTAGAATGATATTTTCTAATTTAAAGAAAGTAATCTAATACATGGAAACCCATATAAACTGGAATTGCACTGTATGAAATGTTCTTTCCAGTTTGACATGTTTCTTTTTTGAGCAAATTTTTAACATTAAAAAATCACTCAATTTCAAAGAAGTTTTTCTATTTAGGCAGGTTCTGTTTTGAACATTTTGCTATAGAAATTCCATAAATCATGTTTCAAAATTTGAGGTACTCTAGACATGTTTTTCTCTGTTGTAAATGCAATTTGATATAAAATAATTTCTTTTGCAATTATTTAAATTATATCAAATTGCATTTACAACAGAGAAATTATAAATTAAATAATTGCAAAAGAAATTATTTTGACATAGAATTCTGTGAAATTGCACTACTACCTCTTTTGTAACAATATTAACAAATTATTTCATACATTTATATTAAAGATGGGTGAATATTATTCATGAATATTTAACTATGCTGTTAGTAGAATGTATTTAAGATTAATGATCTTCAATATTACATTGATATCCAGAAGTATCCAAACAGAGCTAATAAAAAATTAACACTTAGTACCTTTTATTAACACATGTGATTGCATTGCAGCTAGTTCAATAAACCATATTTGCCATCATAAATGTTTTTAAAAATGATGTTTTGAAGTTCAAATAAATATTTTTTTCTTGTCAGTGGTTTCCTCTTGTTGAATGTTTTTGAATTCTTGCTTTCTAAAGAAACAAAATTACCTTGCTCTGTGTTAAATAGAAATCATGTTAAGTTCACTAAGTGTTTGGGGTATTCAGATCTATTTAATATTCAAATTCAATATTTGTCCATCTCTGATGTATAATACATATATATGTGTGTGTGTTAGGCTCAAAGACCAAAAACACTCTTTGAGCGAAAAACTACCACAACGTGTTGTGGTCTCTTTAAATCATCCACAACACAAAATTTGCATCATGGCACTTGTAAAAATACATTGTGGCAAATTCAAAATGACCACAAAGAGTGAAATTCACATTGTGGCTTTCTTGATATTTGACTACTACACGTTGTGGTGATTAAGCGTTCTTAACATTAGCTGATCCAACCACAATATGACGGACAGGTTGAAATTGGTTAGAATGTTTTAGTTAGGGTGCTTGAAGTTAATAGGGACGTGCAGCTTCCAGAAATGTTTTAGCTGTTGTTATGAGCATTAATCCATCAGTTCTCTATCAGTTAGGAAACAAGGAAGGTCTTCTTGATCGATTTTATGCTCGTAATGAATTTACAATTTCTGAGAGTAAATTTATTAATATTCAGGACGTACCCTCAATTTCATTAATACTTTCTCAGCATCCATTTTAACAACTGGAAGTAAGGAAGGGTTTATAATGTGTCACTGTAAAAGATATGGTATTGATCAAAAATGCAAATGCCACTCAAAGAACATAAAATGCAACTCGAAANTTTCTAATACATTAATTTTATATTCAACAGATATATGGCAAAATGCTAAATCACAGAAAAAGAAGAAAAAAGCTCGCCGAGAGCAGTAATATTTTATAGAAAGATATGAAAAAAAAAAAAAGACACAGCCAGCAGTGGCTAGAATCAACCTCAAGTCTTTCACATCATCCTCCCTATCCAAGTTGTAGTCCTCACCATTCCTTGGCTATTTCCTATGACTTGGTGGGTTTGTGTACATATCCTTGCCAAACTGTGCTGTCATAACAGGGAGGATGGGGAAAGCTGCCAATTTCAAGAGAGACAAATGTCCTTTTAAAAAATATATAAAGATAAAAAAAATAACAAAGTTAACTATTTTCTGAAAAGATTTTTTGTCATTTCTTCTTGTAATCTGGTATCTGGTATTACTAGACTACTGTGTATGATAAACATTTTATGCTTACGGGAGAACTTTATATTGTTTGAGGGTGCCATTCAGATTTATTTGTGTACAATAAAACTAGATATTCAAATACCAGATGACCAAAATTGACAACTGATTCATGTGCAATAAGTATTTTACTTTAAATCAAATTCTTTGTGATGTTAACCAAACTTTGTTTGATCTACGTAAATGTTTATCAGAATTTCTTCTCATTCATCAAATAATTGATCTCTAAAATATAGAAAAAAAATTAATTGATCTCTGAAATTTTCTATATAATTTTTCAAAGTTAAAAAAAACTCTTCAGATATTTATCTGAGTATATTTATTCATTTATTTACATGCATGGATTTTATGGAAAATGCCCAAAGTTTTTCCATTTATTCACTGTGAAAGGAAAGTCTCTATATTAAGCTAAAAGTGATTATTAGAAAGATAGATTGGGAAAGTAATAACAAAATTACTTTTTCAAAAAATTTTTATTAGAAAATCCAAAAATATGTTATTTTTTTATAGAAAAAAAATTATGAAAAATATTCAATTGTAAATTGACAAGTTGTCAATATTGGCCATTCCATGTAATCCATCCTTAATATAAGTAGTTTTTAATGTAAATTTCCTATTATCTGTGTCCAAAAGTAATAACAGAATGTTTAAAAGCAGTTTGCCAAATAAGAAGCTCTTAAAATTTGCATTTTTATATAATACTAATTCTTTGTTATTCTGCAGATTTGTTAACGACAAAGTTTTTTGTGTAAAATGTGAACAAATAAAATTGTTGTCGAAAGATTTATTTTTTGAACTGAAAAATTATCATTCAACTTCCATGAGAAGAAAAAGAAAATATTTTTTTGTAAAAATTTATATTTTCTAACTTGTTAAACCAAGAAAAAAAATGGCCTTTGGTAATGTTATCAAGTCTCAATTTATATGATTTAATTTACAATTGGCAAACTGCTATTATTATCAGAAAGAATAATATATTTTCATGAATTGATGCACTATCACATAATTATGCTAAATATCATGGGAATTTTTAATTTTAATGCTGTGATTTTTGTGATCTTTACCAATGTTGGAATCATATGAATGATATTTGCACTACAACAAAATACAGTATGTATGTATATAATAGATTTACAGTTTATAACTGTTTCATAGAAAGGAGGTGCAAATATATTTATGGAATGCCTGTTAAGTTTATCTCTCCCTCTTAAATTGAATATAACATTGTTTAACAGGTATATTGTAAAGAAAAAAATGATTTCCTTCTCAAACTTTAAAATTCCCATTTTTATGTCATGGAACTGTGATGTCATTGGTGACATGTTAATTGCTGCATAAATAACTGCAGTATATATCAAATTTGTTTGAATCAAATCTATTGTTAGTTTTTTATTCCTAGTTACATCCATACGTAGATGTATTGTTTAAAATATTTTTCCATTTTTGATCATTATTAAATTTTAAACACAGTTTTAATATATAGGGATGTTGGGTGGTGAAGACTTTTGTTTAGTCATTGTTTTCATAAAAATTTTGTAAAAAGATATAACAATGCATTTCTAATAAACATATTTTTCTTTCACATGTTGCCTTTCAGGGACCTATGCAGTTAATATCATTTTTATTGTATTCTATTGGATTTTTAAGATATTTTAATGCATTTCAACTTGGAAAAAAAGTGTTTTAAAATATTGCTTAAGATGCATTATTTCAAAAAACTTAAAGCAGTGTAAATTTAATTAATTTTTGATTAGCATTCAAATAGTTACACAAATTACGTATTTTGTTATCAAATGTAAACTCAAAATGTTTCAATTATATTGATAGAAATGGTTTGGGTGTGTTTGTTATTGGAAAAAGTGTATTAAATAGTCAAATTTATGAATTGTTATTATTTCTTTTTAAACATAAAATTAAGTTGATTGGATTTTTGGTGATTTTTTTTTTTTCTTCCTATAATTATATATATATTTTTTTTAATAAAGGGAAATAAATACAGTATTTACATCTTTCAGGTAGCTTATTCAATAAAACTTCTTAAATACTAAAATACTATAGTAATAGAATCAAATAAATTCAATTAAATTTAATATTTGATTTATTTTAAAAGTTTTAGAATATTCCTTTTAACTGGATATACACTGGCTGAAAATGAAAAAAGAATATCTCTATGTAATACGTCTCTGTAATCCAACAAATGGTAGACGGACTCACAGCAAATTTTCAGTTAGGAACTACAATTTTATTCTCAAAAATGACAAATGCATTTCAGGTTGGTGCAATACATCCCAACCCCTCCTCAGTGCTAATTTTAAAAATAATAAAAACAAAAATAGTCAGTTCACGACAACAAATATACCAACAGATAAAAATTTTTTTCGTAAACACTTACTCTTAAGAATATAAAAATTGTGCAAGGGATACCAACACAACTATAACACCAACACATGTTATACATCAATACATAGTAGAGGTATTGTACTGTACATGCTCAAAGAGCCATTGAAGTGTTTAATACCACAGGATAACCACATCACTAAAAATAAAACTTTTTTATGATTATTTTACAGAATTAATAATGGTTGTATAAAAACAACATACATTACATACTGTTAAAATATAGTGATATAAACAGATTATGAACTATAATTTACAAAAACCAAGTAAAAACCTTACTACTATTCTTTTAATCATTCGCAATAATTTGATTCTATGTAACGCCCTCTATCAGTTTATACCAACGAGAATCAATTAGCATACCATCTGAATTATTTATTAAATTATTTTTTTGGTTCTTTATTTCTAAATGTTCTTTAAATTTTCGTTTATACGTGTCTTTTTTTCATAATGCAAAATTTTAATATTACTGCGATTGATTTTACAATTACTATTTTTTGTATGCTCGTACCATGGGGAATTATTATATTTTAAATGAATAGCTGCTTCATGTCCTTTTATCCTAGTGTCCAATTTTGAGAATAAAATTGTATTTCCTAACTGAAAATTTGCTGTGAGTCCGTCTACCATTTGTTGGATTACAGAGACGTATTACATAGAGATCTAATATACAGCAATCCAGTTATATAGTGAAGAAAAAAGAATACCCAGAAGAAATTCCTTGAAGAACTTTACATTGAGGTATGTTAATAGATCACAGTTTCTGCTATCCTTAGGTTTCAAAGTCTCTGGTTGAAATTCATTGGATAAAAGATGTCATTGTATATAAAAAATGCAAATGAATGCACACCTACTTAAGAACTAGGGTGAGAAGAAATAATTTGATCTTCTAGTAGTACATTGTCAATTTCTCTTTTCAAGTAGCTACCTTGCTTGGATGATGCATGTGTGTTAAGTTAAAGGAGTAACGGCCGGATGGCCAAGCAGTCAAGGTGGCAGCCTCTGCTCTGGGGGATCGAATCCGATCGTCAAATAATCCCCAGAAATTTTTTGGGGAATGGTCCATTCAGATATGTTGGGCCCCATCCCTCACCACCCAGCCGCCCCATTGCGGGTCTGGCCGAACCCATAATGGGCTTGCAAAAAACAGGCCCTCTTAGTGCCCAGAGGGCAGAAAAAGTTAAAATTTAAAAAAAAGAAAAAAGTTAAAGGAGTTTGAATATGGTAATAATGTGGGACTTCAAGAAGCAGGTTGGTCTTTCCATCAAATTTCAAACTTACTAGAATGACAGGTATTGGTAGGGTACAATGGTGGCATTGATAGTCAGAAAAGCATTCCACCACTTGAAGATGTACTGTACTTCTGGACAACAGAGTTAGACATGCAATATAATTGACATATCAGGAGGAAATTCAGGCAAAACAGATGGCTGAAGTAGCAAAATGAACAGGCAGAGAGAAAAAACATAAGCTGAATACAATGAAATTCAGCTTATTTTGTAAATGTAAACATAAATGTATGTACTTTGGAGTTTTTCATAAATAGTTCATACAAGAATGCCAGTGCTAACTATTCTGAATGCAACCATTCTGGAATAAGGAGTGGCAAAAATTGATTTCTCCTCATCCAAGTTACCATTGAACCAGCACTGTCTACAATAATATGCTCATAGTCCAGTATCCAAAAGACAGTTGCATATGTGTTACTGGCACAGTTACCATATATCCTTAAAAATATTTGCAATAGTGTTGAGAATGAGCTCATTTGGTGGACAGAATGTCAGTTTGTGATCTCCAGTGACACTGATTCTGCTTAGTTTCATCTGATAGTCATTTGTGTTCAGATGTTTCCAGGTGAAAGACTACTTCTATTGTGCATCTACCAGTGGCACACAAACATCCTGAAATGGAAATGGTTAGTTATCACTCTTGTAAATATCTGGTATTTGTACAGGATATACTAAATAGCATTTTGTATAGTACATCAGTGACATCAAACAACCAGTCATCCTGCAGTTTTGAGTAGAATCCCAAGTGTGATATTCCATGCACTGTTTAGGCAACTTCACCATGGTTTTCCAACCTTTTTTGTCTTCAATTCAACATATCTGGGACTAGAACAGTTGAAGGCTTTTCCACAAATCCCAGCAAATAGAATATATAGAGTGTTATACCTCAGCATGATATCCAGCATTTGTACAATTGATTGCATGCCAGATTGGAGGTTTGTATTTCTACTCAAGGTGGTTCAAGGCCTTACTAAAATGTATCTTGTGTAAAACATAATGTTTGTTATAAGACGAAATAAACATTATTTTACTTTAAGCATGTTATCACTCTTTTCTCAACATGTTTCTACTTAACTCATTGATTAAGCTTCAGTTTTTAATGGTGTTTTTTTTCATTTTTGCCAGTGTATTTCTAAAATTATAACAAAATTTAATTGTATGGTTTAATGAAATATAAACAAATTTTTACTTTAGTTAAACAGATGTAAAATATATATAAAATATGCAGTGGTTTTTCAAATTAAAAATTTTTAAAATAAGATTTGCAATAGTTTATATAGCATGTGTTTCAGTTTTTGGAGAAGTAAAATATGAATTAATTTGAACTTGTTGAAATTTATATTTATATGGTTTTATAGATTTTTAAATAGAATATTTAGAAATACATTAGTAAAAGCATCAAGCATACATATCTATGAAAATTCTTAAAATATAAGATTCGACAACTTAATTTCCAGAATGCACTTTTAAAAAAATGTGGTACTGTATACTAGTGGCTGTTATCATTGGAATTCAGGTATTCAACATTATTTCATAAATTCTTGCATGCTGTTTGATATCAGTTATGTTAGAAAATATTTGTCCCATCAGTGCATATTTTAATTTTGGGAATTGTCAGGTGAATAGGCATTATGATCTAATTGGGTAATAGTTTGGCCAGAAAATATTTCACTCATGGCATTGGTTTGGTGTGATCCACCTGTCAGGCTGCACTTTGGGTTTTTTTTTTTTTTTTCAAACAGACCTTGTAATCTTTTCAGCACTTTAACAGCATTGTTAATTGACTATTTTTCATTATTCTATAAAATCTGGATGGATTGAATTCTTTGTGATTGAAGAAACATGCCAGCATGCTTGTCTTAAATTGTGTGTGAGTTGTGTGTTTTTTAGGGTACAGTGACATCGGGATTTCCACTGCATGCTCTGACATTTTGTTTCTGGATTGTAGTGGAAGCACCAAGTTTCATCACTGGTAATTACTCTCAGAAACAAACACATTAGTAAATCTTTAGTTTTAATTACTACTATAAGTTGCAAAAATGAAACATTATATCATTCTATTCGAAAAGTCTACACATTTGTTTTAAAGGATTTATGTTTTTCAATTAGCATATCTTTTTTTCAATAAGCAATATTTTTTTGAGATAGATATATACTGTATTCAAAGGACAGTTCTCTTGCTCAAAACGTCATGAATGAAGAAAGTTTTTAATATTTCAAAATTATATGTAAATACAGTAATACATCATCTTGCCCCACCCGTGGGGTAAGATGGGAATATTATTTTTATATACAAGGAGGACAAATTAAAATGGTTAAACTGTCGTTTTCTTCAATATTGGCAGAACAACAGTGCACATATTTATCACAACGGCTACGTTTATTATTATTTTCCGAATAAATAAATATAAAAAGTTTGAACTTACTCGTATCTACTTCACCAGACGATAATGTCACTTCACGCATGCCCAGTTTCGCTATTTTGTGAGCAGACGATATATTTTTATAGAAAAATTTTTTTATTTTGATTGTTATCTCACATTTTATTTCTTGTTAAGATAGTATTTAAATTTAAAAAATGTTTTCACAAATAAAATAAAACGTAAAAAACATAATTGTAATAAATTTATACAGTATATACTGTATTACTTTATTAGTTAGATATGATTTAAAAGTGGAATACTGTATTTCATTTTCTATAAAAAAATCATTTTATTATTTTATATATTCGAAAAAATGATATAGAATTATCAATGACAACGAATTTAAAACTAGTTCACTGCACTATATTGCAGTGCCTCTAACCAGCAGCAGAATTCATGGCCAACCTTGGGCGAAATGGGGTACCTTATCTTGCCCCAACGTGCACTTTTCATACTGACTGCAAACACTGGTCAACTTTATTTCAAAACTAAACAATTTCAGTCTTAAAGGTTATTTCGAATACCATAATATCTTCATCTAAAAAGTAATGTAAAAGTTCTCAATGATGCTTACTTGTAGAAACTTTGTAGCGAGCGTAAAATTACATGAAATACAGTAGACCCCCCTATAACGCGTAGATACGTTCCTCGTTATACGAATTTCGTGTTGTAGGAATCCTTAAATACACGAGCCAATCGCAGCCCGACACGTGTGAAGTTTACGGACTACGGCTGTTTGAAAGGTTTTCTTCCATAAAATTAATCGATTCTAGACTAATTCGACTTAACATTTCCAAAACACGTATAACTTTTTGGGAATAATCCGTATAAACTATGCTATAAACAAAAAATTGTAGGATTATTTACAGAGTGTGCACCGTTCGACGTTGCCATTGCTTAAGCTTGTTTTCGTCGCGGAGCAGCGCATCAGACGGTGGCCGCGATTTCTGATGTTATTTTTCTGCGAAAACTTCGTTGGAGACATCATTAATAGAAATAATTTTTATGGCCGTTGAATAAGAAATGTTTCTTTCACAAGAAATATATAAAATTACAGTGCTGTATTAGACTTACGGTACTTAATTTACATACTGTACAGACGATAGTAAACTCAATTTACCCGCCTAAACTCTCTGTAGCGTGGCGCTGGACGGCGGAAAGTAGTTCGGTTGTTCGTCCGCGATGACGTTTTACGCGTCCCCTTTAGCGTCTTTATACGAATATTGTCGCAATTTTTTCGCCGCGTTATGGGAATCTCTGTTATAGGAACCCGCGTCATAGGGGGGTCTACTGTACATTAACCTATCCCGTGTTGACATTTTTCTCCGTTGCGTGTCGCTTCGCGTTGAATTTTCGTCGATGTTAAGCCTAAGGTAAACTTTTTAAAATAATAATCGTGACTATTGTATCGTTAAAAATTTTATTTATTTTTTACAAACAAAATTAATATATTGAAAAATATTAAAAAAAATTTATACTTTAGAAGTTAAAATCGAGGTTTACAACCGAAGATAAATAAACAAGTTAAACTATTTTAAAGTATTTATAGAATGTTTAATAGGTAGAAATCTAGATCCGTATGACGCGATTGGGAGTTTAACAGAGCTGTAGAACATATTGATAGGAACAAAAAACTCAAAGGAACAGTGCCTCATGGGAATTTGTAAAGAACGCCCACTAGGGAACGTCCCGGGCTACTAGTATACTATAATCTATTAATTAATAATGTATTTTTTCATACTTTTCGGTTATCCGACCAACCAGAGTCCCCAATCGAGTCGGATAATCGATGCTCTATTGTAAAATTGCCGTTTAGGGATAGTTGCCCTTCAAAAAATTGATACAAATCAACCATGGGACATTTTCACACAGGTTGGACATACATTGATGCAGCAAAAAACACTTAAATGTTTTTGACCAAACTTGCTTTTGTACAAACTGCTTTTTCAAAGGTTACACAGATCTCTGCACATTGATCAAAATATAATGTAATAAATCAGAATAAAATATTTTTCGACAAAATGTTTGCTTGATTAGTGTACACGGAAATATTTTAGTATTTAGCAAAATGTTTTATATAAAGTTATTTTTACCTAAGAGAGTTGTAACTACCGGATTACATCGCCATTATTATGTTTCTACATAATTTTTCACTAGAGGGAGGCGTTAGACACAATCTCTTATAAAATTTAATAATTTAGAATATTCTGACTATTTTAAATTAATTTCTNGCCGCCGACGAGATTAGTCGGGAGACAGAGAAATCCGAAACCGCAGTCCCAGCACCACAAACACCCGAGATAATAGACCCCTGGGATGAATTCATCCTAAATTCGATACAACCCGATCAGGCAGAGGCAGCGGAAACGGTAGAAATTAGTCAGCACGCGACCACGACACAACCGTCGCACAGATATGCATTAAGGAGTCAGGGACCCGCAGACGAATATCCTTGGGTACTACCCCACACGCATAGGCTCAGACAAACGGTGGAACATCTTCACCGAAACACAGAAGAGGGAGGCGCGTCAACGTCCCATAATCATGTTCAGGAGCGCTTGCCGCCGCCTACACCCGTCGGGCTATTTACTCAATGTAAATGGTGAGCTCTTCTGAGGGGAGAGGTCACCATACAAAAAAAAAGGGATGTATTTTTGTAAACAGAATTGTCGCAAGACGAATTCATATTTGTAAATATTCTCCTTGTGGATCCTGAATGTTCAGGATAGAAACGCGTTTTTCAAGTTCAAAACGGTAGAACTGAAAAAAAAGAAAAAAAATTGTTCGGGAAAACAACAGTGTCACGAATGACACTGATGAATTTGTCAAAGGTTGAGTAGTTTATATAATCAAATTTAATGATTAAGAAAAATTTCCCCAAATAGGCGTGCATGATGATCACAGCCGTCACAGAGAGAGGAAAAAAGACGCACAGACAACAACGATCAATGATGAACGACAATCGGAGGAAAACCGAAATTGTCGTCATTGCTTCCTCTGTGCCAGCAAAAGCCCCTTTAGACAGAAACAACGAAAAATGTAATTGTCTCTGACGGTGAGGTTGAAATTGGAAAGATCTGTCAAGGAAAAATCCGAAGACAGATAAACAAAGGTCCACACCGAATCAGAAGACAGACATCGGGAAAAGGGAGCTATGACGAGGATGCCAAACATATTTGTGACTTCCGAACAGAGTATGCCCGTACCAGATACGAAAGCATACCGGAAGCGCATGTTTCAGATTTTGCGTTCACTCTGGTGTGACGGATGAGACAAATTAGATACTGAATCACTGTTCGTGGTCCTAAACAAAGAAATTGGGCGGGAACACGAATGCATTCGGTATTCACCCCTTTTTTGGCTTTTTCTTGGGAGATTTTGAATCGGATTTTAAGATTCATATGAATTGCTCAATCTATGGAGAAAAACAAAAATTTCTTTGAAAAAAAATCGGGTTAAGTAGAAAAGAGGAAATGTAATTCTTATGTTACAAAACTGTTGCTTTTGTTCAAAGTTACGCGACACCTATTCCAATTCGATATCCACGCGAGCGCGAGCTATCAGTTCATCGACCTAGCTCGAATGGATCGCGCTGGGCTGGTAGACGTTCGCGGGACCTAGGGCCCATTGTTAAAATGTCGCATCTGGTGGCGACATTTTAAAAGAAAGGGGGGTGCCCTGTGAGGACCCGAACAGGGGTCGATTGAGAGGTCCGAATTATGGGTTCGATCGAAAATTAAGAGCTCCTTTTCAGTCGATAAGGAAACGGATTAGGTGTCTCGATTGAACAATGCAATTGTTTT